CTGTAGTCAGATATAATAGCACAGAAAGTAAGTATTCATTTCATCTTATGCACTCAGGAGATAACATTATATTTGAAAAAAAATAAAATTTCAGCTCATTTTAACTATTGCCGCTGCTGCTAAGTAACAATGATTGCATTAGTTGCAGTACTGTTGCCCTCATCAATTTAACGCTTTGAAATACAGGAGATGTTGCCACCGTCATCACTACCATCATTACTACCCACCACCACCACCATCACCACAACCACCACAACATCTGCTACTGATGATGTAGCATTTAGTGAAGAAGTCGGCTGCATTCGTTACAACAAGTAGAAGAGAAGAGAAACAATTGTATCTTTAATGATGAGAAATGAAAAGGAAAGATCTGAAATACTCATCATATTATCTTAACGCAAAATGAAACAATCGGGAAGGTAAGAAAAGGATAGCAGAGGACGATGGAAAAATGACAAGCTTAATAGTTAACATGAAATACAACCGAATATGAGTACGAAAAACAAAAAGAAAATAATTTTAGAAAACAATGACGAAGTGGATAACCATTACCCATTTTGTTTACTTTTTAAGACGAAATGAGTAATGACTTTACGGAGAACATACATTAGGAAAGGAATATATAAATGAAAATAATAAATAAGGTCAAGTGAAACCAATCAAAAAGTAAACAAAAATTTCTTCACGGAAAATAAGGAGAAGAATTCTTATACGATGGCATATATGGTTGGTTGGTAAGAAGAGAATGATGGATGGATGGATGGATGGGTGGGTGGATGGAATAGAATAGAGTGAACTCAAGAAATCGAAAGTTTTTCATAATAATAAATGAAATAAAGGAATGAGAAGGCTATATAACAAGCAAAGAATGGAAGTGAAAATAAAAGAAAGGGAAAATATCAAATTTGTAAAAAGAAACTATTTGAATGAATGTTTCGTTGTATCTTTTCTAAAGACTGAGATTTCGATAAATGAAGATCGAATCTCCCGATCTTCTACCAAATCAATGATCGTATCAATGAATGAACAAGTGCTAAAGGCTAAACGCACACATTATTATAACGTTAGCATGCAACCGCGAGCTTTTTAAATGAGATGGAGAAAGAGGAAGAGGGAAGAAAAGAAACTTAACTTGATGACATATGCGCCACAATGTTCACAAGATTCAGTGACATACATTCTAAGCTCATTTCAACTTCTTTCTCATTCTTACATCTCTTCCTAAATTAACCTACCTAACATGTACACACACACACACACACACACACACACACACATACACTCATAAACATATAATATACACAACACATACAAAAGTGTGTATGGGAGACGAATAGCAAAAGCAATATTAATAGTGTGATTGATTTGCTCTTGTAGTTAAAGAAATGAGAGAAAGAGGAGAGGAGAAAGTTTAGAATGAATATGGAGATAGCAGCATGTAAAATAAAAAGATAGTGAATAAAACATGTAAAATCTAATGAAGGAAACATTGCACGAGAGAAAAAAAGTATACGTTGTGACAGAGAAAGAGGGAATTATGATGTCAGAAGCAAAGAAAAATGGCAATAGGCTGAACTTTATTTTTTGAAGAGAAAAAAATGAGAAAGGGATTGATTGGAAAGTTGAACATGGCAACTGGCAACTTAATAATGTGGCAACTGCTCTCTCTCTCTCTCTCTCTCTCTCTCTCTCTGTTTCATAATACTTGCAGGAAGTTGAATTGATGTGAGAGAGAAAAGCTTCGGACGAAATGCAATAGATATGATAGATAGATGGAAATGTTAGGATAAGTAAGTGTGTACTTCAATTATTTCAGTAGAAAGAAAATGTGTTCAGAAATCAATTCATCCATAGCAAATAGGTGAAGAATATAGAAAAAGGCAATTACAATATAAGCTGATAATATCAATATTATCATTACACTTATCATAATCACTTCATATTTTCATTATGATAAAATTTTCAAAAAGCAAAAGGTTCTGGTCAGTCAGTAATGTTTGATATTATCGATACAAAGCTGAGTATAACATTCACTTCTCAATTATATAATCTTTGATGACATCTCTGAAGAGTTGACCTTAGCAAAACTAGGAATACTTGGTATTATTAAAAGATGTCATCAATGTGCAAATATAGTACAAACGATTGTCAACTATATCTTCTCCTTCTCCTTCTCCCTTTCACCTTCCAATTTCCCATCTTGTTAATTAAGTGAAATGTTGCATTGCTTTTGTGAACTAAGGTAATAAAGGTAATGTTCTCTTTTCAAATATCATAATAGCATTGTTATTACGATATAATACATTGTTTTGTTATTACTCTTACTCTCATAAAATAGTGAATGTGTTTGAGAGGAATGTATCAGACAGAAATTTCTCTGATTTGAAAGAGAAAAAAATATTCGATCTATTTTATCGTCTAATGTTATCAAAAAGATTATTCGGATTAAAAATTTTTAATATTATAAATGGCCTTAATGTAATGATAACGTGAAAAGATTGAATATCGAGAGTGATCGATGATTCATTATATCAATTAAACAAATTTATATTCCAAAAATTAATCAATTAAATCCTAGTTATCGTAACAAATAATTGCCTGTTCATTGATTATGAAATGATGAAATAATGATCGATGGAAATATTTCAATGATTTATCAGACTAGGTTATTGATAAGTATTGGAAAGTTTTATCTAAGTTGAAAGCAAAAGATTATTTCATCATTCACTCATTCTACATCTTAATATCACCCCTTAATATCATCCCATTTGAGAAAACATTATGAAGTGAAAATATGTTTGAAAATCATTTTCTAACTGAAATTATGTCTGCAAATTATCCATGTCTACATCTTTTTTCTCCTACCTTTTATCTCTTCTCTGAAACTTCGATTATTTGAATTCAATTTCAAATTTGAAATCAAAATGAATTCAAAATATGTTTTCTAATTCTGAAGAACAAAGGAATTCCGTAAAATATGTTGCCAAATAACGATGAATTTTTAAAATCAAGAAAAAACCACAATTAAGTATAGGTATCATCAAACAATAATTTCCTCATTTCATTGATAATGTTGCACAGTTAACAATTGCAGGTTAATCATCAATCAACTATAGATATCATCAAACAACAATCTCCTCATTTCATTGATAAAATGATAATAATGTTGCACAGTTAACAATTGCAGGTTAATCATCAATCAACTATAGATATCATCAAACAACAATCTCCTCATTTCATTGATAAAATGATAATAATGCTGCACAGTTAACAGTTGCAGGTTAATCATCAGCCATCATTTTCAGAACATTAAGTATTTAAAAAAATTGAAGTAGTAGAAGACCAACCAAACAAAACCAGTTCCAAATTAGTAAATGATTGTAAGTATAATTTGTTCGCTTTTTTAATTATCGAAAATAACATTTTTTTTTTCTTATGCATAAAAAGAAAATTATCAAATAAAGACAGAGGAAGAAATTTACCGATTCGAAAAATTTGCTAAATTAAGAATGTCTTCCTTCTTCGTATCACTTTGTTATGCTACAAGCAAACGATATCAATCATCAACAATTTTTAAATTTATCCTATAAAAAAAATTGAGTATGATAAAAATAGAATTCAATATGAAGTATGTGAGAAATATAAAAGAGAAAAAGATGTTAAGATATATTGGAAGAGAGGAAGAAGATATGAATGATTGTAATGTAATGGAAAGAATCTAACTTCATCTTTATACATTGAAAATCGGCATGAAATAGGTCAAAATCCGGAATAAAAACTTAATTGTGGTTTTTTCTTGATTTTAAAAATTCATCGCTATTCGGCACTACATTTTACGGAATTCCTTTGTTCTTCAGAATTAGAAAACATATTTTAAATTCAATTTCAAATTATATTCAGTCATTTTCTGAATCCGGAATAGAAATAGGTCAAAATCCGGAATAGAAATCATATCCTGAAAAATAAAAGCAATAGTATGAAAATTTAATATGTTGAAAGAAAAAATAACACTATCCATTCGTCAAATTCATCAGAAAATTTATCTTTGTCAAACAAAAATAAAGAAATCTAATCATTTCGATGTAAAAAAAACAATATCAACAAATTTCTTGAATCGAACAAATCAACAATGAGTAAGGAAAAGACTGAAACACTTCACAAAATTTTTTAAATCTGAATGAAAAATAAATGCCACCTCTCTTCCGCAATATGTTATTCTCTTTGCTTCGTCTGCATATTTCAACAACAAACTAAAAGAATTATAAATTCGAGAGATCATTTACTTAGGACAGCTGAGTAAATTAAACTTCGAAAGTTCTTCAAGCAAGTCAAATTGCTTACTTTCAGCAACGATGAAAATAATCCCTTGTTTCCAACTAAAAGAAAAAATCCAGATATTACTGTTATTACTTCTTAATATACTTTTCTCTATTACCAACAGAACCATTGATGTACAGAAAACAGGATATAATGAAACGAAATATTTTATTTTTTATGATTCATACAAAAAACATGTAATTCAAATGACAGTGACAAGCAATGACACATTAACAGCACATGCTCCTGTTGGATATTAAGCATACCTAAGTGAGAACTGTTTTCTATATACATTCATCAAAGACTGAAGTTAGAAAAGTATAGTAGAATGAGCATGTTTTAGATTAATATCTTAAATCAAAAAAGAACCTGACATTCTTGCAAAAAAGCTTTAATCTTTAATTCGCTTTACCTTTTTCCTCATTTTATTCTTTCCCAAACAGTAGTTAAAAATAAACAAGACATCCGAGACAATCCTAGCCAATTAATGAATACAATAAATGCACCGGCAATAACTTCAGAATAATCCTGGCATTTGTAAATAATCCTATATAAATTATCTGCAGTATTTCAGAAATGCAATAAAAAGTGGTCATTACATATATACACCAAAATTTGTAGGAAGGGCAAGCCAATAAAATTATAAATTGCAATTAATAGATCGGAAAAAGTACGTCTTCAGTTTACTCCTCATCGGCAACAATTTTCAGAGCCTCCGTCGGACTGTCCTGCATTTTGGACATAGCTGCAGCTGTATCAGACAAACCGGAAGCGATTTGTTCAGACGGTGAATTCCTAGGTGATGGTTGTCGTTGTGGTGCTAATGCCATCCAACGGCCTGATGAAGAAGGTGGTGGCATAAAATTAGCACCACTCAATACTGACGGTATCATTCGGGGTAGTGCTACCAACGGTCTAAATTGATTTCTGCAATTGTCAATATTTCAGGAAACATGCTATCTTATAGTGTATATCTAGCGATTCTAAACCTGCGAAATCATTCGTCTTACTGAAAAGAAAACCAATTTCAATTATAAGTGAATTACTTGGTGCGTACTAATCAAATTCACGTCTCAATGAAAGTGCCGCTGGATCAAAAACGAATGCAGTAGCTGATAGTGTCGCGCCCGTAACAATATCAGTCAGCTTCAAAGGAAAAACTACAAAAAAACACGGTCAAAATACAACTACTCCTTCGTTTACTAAAATTCCGATATGCGTATTTGGATTCACGTAGGCCTACAATTTCGGTTTGCTTGATGTTTGAAGACACGTCCATATAACCGCGATAGTCAATCCCAATTACTAACAGTTCAACCATCTAGTAGATTAAAATGGATGCTTGAGAAAATCTTACGAAATATACTGAATTCCCGAAGATTGCTCTTCAAGCACTTCAACGGTATCAACATATAAGCAACAATGTATTATGCCCTTACCTTGGTGAATGATGCATCACATTTCGTGGATCCGGTAGCAATGGTCGTCGACCGGGCAGCATTGGTGGCATACCACCCATTCCCCGAAAAAGTGGTGGTGGAGGTGGTTCAGCTGATGACTTCAGAATTGATTTCGGTTTGGGTGGAAATATCGAAGATGTTAAAGCAGATGAAGACGACGATGGAGCCGCTGTTGCTGCTGTCATTGTTATTGTTGCTGTTGTTGTTGTTGTTAACGATGTTGAAGGAACTACTTGCACCGTTGAACAACCCGAATTTTGGCCAACATTTAAATGTGAACCAGAGGATGATGAGGTAGCCACAGCTGGTATTGTTTTTGCTGTTGGCGTCGGGCTTTCACATTTTTCATTTTCCATTACCTAATTCATTTTCCATATCAAGCAAAAACTAGAACAAATCAAGAGCACAAATTTCAATTTTCTATATAAGTGCAAGCAACAAATTTACACAAATATTACCGCATTAAATAAAGTTTCAAGATTTACTCCTTTCGTCATTGCAAACTAATCAAACTCAAAAGTTATTGTAGTAGTCAGCAAGATCTATTCTTCTTTTTAATGTATCCAACAACTTGCACAATTCGATTTAAATCATGTATATAAACCTTTACACTTTAAAAATGTACGATTTGAATGATAAAAGCACACCTTTTTCATTTTGAAGACAAAAAGATGGTTACCTTTGGTATCTTAAAGTTTTTAAGACTAGCAAATGCGAGTGCTTGTGGAAATTCTACTTTCGGCGAAATAGTCGTTGTTTTTTGCTCACCTGATGGTCGATCCAATTTCATTTTCTGGAAGAATCTATTAGTTTCATAATACTAGTTTTTGAGCAATCATATTCTATAATATATAAAACTGATTCTCCCAAACTTAGCGCACCAGCATCTTCGAGCTTCTAAATGACTTCTTTTGCGTCACTGATATGCAAGAAATGGTTTGTAGTATCGAACGCGATATACATAATTCCAGATCAACTCGTATTCAGCATGTACGTTCACAATTTTTCAAAAAAAGCCAAACTCCTTCAACTTTTGAATAAATTTTTAGATCCAAGCTTCATCATCTGATAGGTTCTTCCTAACATGACATCTGATCAAAATATGACCATTGCATACCTTACTACTACTACTATTAAGTTCGCCTTTACGTTCTCTTTTACCCGTCTTACGAGCACGTTCATCCGATGCGGATCGACTTTTCTCTTTCAATTGTTTTTGTCGTAATAATGCTTTCTCTTCCTTTGATCTTGATGACGAAGGCGGCTGACCAACCAAGCGCATAGACCTATTCGGAAAATGAAATAAGCAATAGTAAAGTTAATCTGTAGAAGTAAATTGTCATTCATAATTCAAGTTGAAAATATAAATAAAATAAGGAAAGGAAAACCATCAAATGCACTAACGATGGTACACCACCCGATGAAGATTGCGATGGTCCAGTAGATGGTCGTGTGGATGCTTGCTGTTTCAATTTAATCATTATTTTCAATTCTGAACCGTAACCTGGCTGTTCCGCATTAATCTTTGTCAGATTTGGTGACATTCGTGCAGCGGGGGATGATGTCGATATTGATGGACTATCACGCTTAATAAGAGCTGGCTGCAATATTATCAACTTTTGTACAAGTTACTAAAAATAAAACATTACTCTTCACTATTTTCTATTTTCACCGTCAATTATTTTTCAGAAAATGGTATATTTCAAGATGCTAGGTCTCATTTCACAATTTTTATACATTATGGTGTAGATTCAAGGCACCAGAAAGCAATTTTCTTAATACTCATGATAAAAGAAATTCGATGGAACTGTGTGTGTATAAATTATTTCATAATAAGCTAGGGTAAAACGCCATATATGAAATAAAAAATTTGCAAGTATAGAAATAAAACATCTCAATCGCATTTAAGTAAAATTAAAAAAAAGCATTACTTCAGGCAGTTTACTAACTGGTTCCGATTCATCGTCGTATAAATCAGAGGCTAAATATGGATTTGATGTTGTCGAACTGCTGCTGCTTGCTGGCGCTGTTTTGCAGTGTAATTTCCCTACCACAGCTTCTAGACTTCCTTTACGCGCTTTATGGGCCAGCAGTGCTGCTGACTGCATTGAACTATTATTAGTTGCTGTTGGAGATGGGCTGGTAGGAGGCGTAAGTTCCACTGTTTGACCACTGTAAATACGAGGAAGGTCCAAAACTTGCTGTATTTTCGGAAAAAGAAACCAAATCTATTTTCAGCACGATCCATTTGGAAATATAAGTAAACGACAAAAGTAAACGATAAGTAACAGGAAAAATACAAAAATTTGGTTGAGTTTCCGAAAAGGCATCATTCAACATGAAACTAAATTCTAATCTTTCGGTATGTTTTCCTCATAAGCGCACAATTCACCTTACTAACGCCCCAAACTAAGATGAAATGATCTGTAGATAAAAGTGTTGGTTGCAAAGAGAGGAATAAAATATGGCGTAACTGAATCACAAAACATGTCTTTTTTAAAAATATTGAACTCAACATTTGTTGTTAAAAGAGATATCAGAAAAAAATATTCATAAATTTTATAAACGCAATGTAAATCTCACAAAAACGATAAATATCTCCTTGCACAATGTCAAAGATGAGTAAAATTTTAAAAAAATCTAAAAAAAATTTCTAAAATATGTACAAACCCAATATACCTCGATGAAACCGATGAAAGACATGAAGGGGTATTTAACGACGAAGACTTGTTAACCAGTGATAATGTTGCTGATGAGGAAGAAAGATTCCCAACAGTGGTTATTTGTGGCACTGGAGTATTACCACTTGCAGCAAGTTGAACTGATGATTGTGGTATCACGGTAGTACAGACAGGAGGTGGTGGATCAGTTTCATCATCTGACGATTCTTCAGTTCTCTCAAATTCGGATGCTTCTGATCGATTTTCTTGTGGTAAGCTGACTAAAAATGAAAGTGAGATTTCCTACAGCATCGCAATTCATTAGTTCAAAATTTTTTCAGTAGAAATTACATGAAAATTTTTCAATTTTCATACTAACACCTATACAATCAGCATCTAGGAGCCACCTATGCAATCAATTTCAAAAATATTCTTATTACCAGGTGGCATTTGACAAGGATAAACTGGCATCTCGGAGAAGGAACGTTGTAACATAGGGCGATTCATGGCAAATTGATGCGAATGTGCAGGAGACGCAGGCATATGAGCAGCTTTCCGAGGTCTTCGAGGACGTCTTGCTGTTGAAGTTCCTATAAAACAGAAATTTTTTCCACGGAAGAGATTGACCTTAACTTGTACAAATGATCTTAAATGTATTTCAAAAAAATCGAAAAAAGGACTACCTCGAGGCTTGCGCGTCGGAATATTCATACCACGAAATATCAAACCAGTACTCTGGTCAAGAGTTGGACGACCTGGATCTAACATTCGATCACCCATATTTCCAGCCTTTCGACCTCGACCTCGACGTTTCAAAGTCGGCTGAGCACCCAATGGACCTCTGGTACTTTGTATGGCTGCAAAAGGATATGGACTTTGCCCTGCTTCTGAAAAATGGAACTGTTGAGATGATGTTCCCATTGAACTTGCTGAGTTCATACGAGGTGGATCATCAAATTCAAAAACATCTGTCGGATTACTCATCGGTGCTTGCTGCTGAAAACATGAACATTATACTATAACAAAATCACGTCTTTTGCATAAAACACCGTAATATGAATGTTTACATGTTGACAACTCAACTTATTAATTTCTTTCCTGTGATTCTTTTTTCTCCCATCTCTTTTTACATTTTTTACTGTCGCAATAAATATTCCAATAAATATTCGTGGCATATCATAAGTAATAAATATTCATGTCATATCATTCTTTCACTTTTCAATACTTAATAAAAATTCCAAATAAAAAAATGAACCGCAAGGCGTTGACGCGCAATATCAAGTGGTGAGAGCTGAGAAAAATTTCCTGCTTGGGAAGCACGATAATGTTCGCTAGCTGGTGACGGCGACTGCGGCGGTATTTGTGGCCGGAGCCTTTGGCTCTGCAAAGCAATATCAAAATCAAACCAAATAAATTGACAAACTAAGTCATTCCCAGCACTTGAATTTCATGAATTCCAGATCTTGGAGACAAAAGTATAAATTCATTTAGCTTACTGTGCGGAAACGCTTGTTCTTGCATGTTTGTCCTTTTTATTACCAGAAGAAAAAAATGCTTGCCTCATTAGTGGATGGTGAACAACGTTCCACAGTGGATGAGTGACTACTGTGCTCAGAAATATTCGATTCACCATCATCGATGCTTGCTGCCATGTCACAAATTGCATCCTTCAAAATTGAATAACCTCCTCAAAACCCAAAAAACGACTCGAGTTAAAATATGTTTGTTTAGAACTGAATTCAAAAAAATTTGAATTGAAATTTCCTTCTATGGTTACACTCTAAGCATTTCAGTCTACCCACTTTAAATCGTACTCTGAAACAGCAGTTTAATCATTACAGTATTAATACTTCTTTATATCTGCATATCGGATACTTCAGTCCACTGCAAATAAGGAAGTGGGAATAGAAAATTTCCTTCCAGAAACTGCCAATTGAACATCTTTGGATAGATTACAACAAATGATTAAGGCCCAAACTGTGGAATTATGCAATAATATTATGATGAAGGCTCGAACTGTGAGACTATGCAACAATATAATTTTTCGAATCATTCATCAACCAATTGCAGATTTGAAAACACAAATTTTCCATTTTCAGCACTGAATCGCATGTCCGCTTCGTCGCTTTTTTTTTTAATCGTGCTTTATATTTAAATTAAACCAAATAATATCCAATTTTAGAATGTATCCAATTTTAGGTGTACAGTAATAGTTCAACTTGTTTGTTATGTAAACTTCTACTTGCAGATACGTCAATTTCCAGAAATCATTCCTGTTATTCCGCAACACAGTGTCAGTAAAAAAATCTACGCAATGCTGCATAAAAACCAAAGAGTTGGATAAGTGGGATTACAGGCCTGTGCTTATATTTTAAAGAAATTAAATTTAAATTAAAACCTTCCACTAAATTTAAAATTCCCACCACTAATATAAATTCCAGAATTTTCGGAAAATTTACAACAGAAATAATGTACCAGGACAGAGAAGGCATTGATCGTCATCGTATTTTCAGAATGGATACGACTCGTACGTGGCGCAAGCATTTCGTTACGTGGAGGTGCCGTACATTGTTGCGCTCCATTCATGGGCTTCTGAGGTGGTATTAATTCTTCTATCTTTTCAAGCTCTTTGAAAAGTGCTAATAGAGACAGCGGCGATTGCCTTCCTAAGGTATTGTTATCACGTGAACAATTAAGATTAATTCGTTCATCCACCACATATTCGTGTTCTGTTTTGCAATAGTTAATGCTGTTGTCCGTTATGTTTGGAACAAACAACCAAGATTGTGATATTTTAACGTCGCAGTTATTATCAACATTTTCGTTCATCACAAATGGTTTTTCAAGCGCAGCCAACGAAATGGCGCCTCCACGTCGCAAAACACTTCGCATCATTACTGCCAGCGACCAACTTCTGCAGAAAATAAATCAAATTTTAGTTTACCGAATTTTTTTCTTAAAAAGTATTACGACTTATGATTATCAGACATAGAACGGAATGGATTCATATTTCAATAAAATTTCGATATGTTCGTCATTCTAAATCAATGTTTTTTTTGAAAAGAAGTTTTTGGCACCTTACAATTTCAAGACAATCCAGTGTTGAAAACCAATTACTTACTTTGCAAGAATAGCTGTGGCATGCTGTGATTCCGGAAGTACCGCTCCATTTATTACACATTCTAGTGAAACATTAACGTTTGACGGTGATACAGCAACACGAGCTGAAAATATATCTTTCTCTATTTTCCGAAAAATCAATCGTTAAAGACAAATGCAGCATAATCGCTTAGTTTTCCGTTCTACTCTGCCTGTGACTGAATATCAAGCAGTATTACTAGCTACCTTCTTCCACTGGCAACTCACTAATGTATTACTCATAAAACTTTCAAGAAGCCGTCTTAGTGCCTATTTTTTTCAAAAATTTTTTACATGCATAACTTTTGCTAATGAAAAATAAGTTAAAAGTTTGAGAAAACGATGCCGAAAAAAACTTTAGCATGAAAACGATGTTTCGGAAAAAATTACCTATAAAAAGATTCTTTTTCAAGTAGAACTGAAGATCAAAACAGTCGATGTACGAAGATGCTATATGAATATCAACAGAATTTTCATCAACACATGCACTGCGACTATGTGCTCTTACAAGGCTTTCGAAAAAAGCGTTGTGAGCCAATTGTGTTCGAATGATGCTTACAAGAAAAACCACATCTTGCAAATGAGCAAATGGTATCTGTAAGAATCAAATATCTTAAAGTTACTTATGAAATAATACTTGAATCTTAATAAGAAATATAACTTTAGGAGTTTTAAATTTTTGAGGTATTGCACTCAGTTTTCGATCAAAGTATTAGTCAATTCACCTGTCTTAAAATGCCATCTTCCTGCGAACATGTCATGGAATAGTCGAAAATATAGTGCTGTGTCGAACAGCCTGGTAGACGAACAAAAACATCATGGCATTCCTGCAAGAATTTAACCAACTATGGGCAGTAGAGATAGCCAGGTACAAAAATTCGAGACGAAATTCACAGAAGCAAACTTATTGCGCTTCTTTTTCAAAGCCTTCAGTGCTGATACAAAAAGTCTTATAACGTTTTAATCACTCATTTAGTTCCGTAAGTTTTTGATTTAGTATGCTTACACTTGCTTGACCAAAAAGAACAAACCAATTTAATGCTTTATACTGCAAAGGGCCTCAAACATGCATGAAACAGTCTAAAACGTAGAAAACAGATGCCCACCTCACTTTCATTCAATAAATACTGATACAAATTGTATGACCCTTCAACATTCAGTGGAACTGACGCAATCTTGGAAAGCTTTTTGATTGCAGCCGATGAAAATATAATTGGTCTTGAAAACCGCAAACAAAACGCAGCCGGTAGCTGGCGGCCTGATACAGCATTCCGCCATTCACCACTACAAAAATATCAAGATCATTGAGACATTTAAACCTTTATGAAACCTTCTATGCGTAAATGTAAATATAAAAAAAAATTCATGCATACTGTACAAAAAGTGTAGCATCGGAGAAGAAGTTTGGAGTTGAATTAGAGACGATGCATAATTGAAGATATGGCTCCACATCATACAACACTGAAACTAATTAATGGTCTGTAAATGCTATCTTAGATTTGCTATCATCAAAGGAATATGATCATGAATGTCCGCTACAATAGGTAGCTTTACATGTTACGTCTTGTAAAACTTAAGGTCGATTCTGATTTTTTAGAACAAAGTAACTTGCCTTGCTCATCAGTAGGAGATATGATACTACCGGAAGAAATGTCCAGGAATATTACAGGCTCGACGAATGGATAAATGGTAAATGGAGTGGATTCAGTTCGCGATTTACAGAGACCCAAAATACCACCATTTATTTGTTCAAAAACTGAAGGAGCACTTCCGGACATGGTCAGGAGATCTTTTTCAGCATATTCTAGTGATCGCAAACAAAATATCTTCTCGTCTCTGTAGAAAAATTTTTCATTTTAACAGATTTTAGTACAATTTTGAGCCAAAAATAGTATCAGGATGGAATTGATTATCTATAATCGATTCCATCACAACTAAAAAAAGTAAGCAGCAAGAATACGAGTAATTAATTACAACGAATAGAACCCATGACACAACCTTGACAAATTTGATGGAACAAGATGAAACATTGCTGTCAATGCTGTATGCACAAGATCCCATCTGTTACGAGAAACGTAAAGTCGAAGTGTTTGCGCTTCCACAGCTCGCTCACCAAACCAAGATACTGAACAACTGGTAATTTGTTGGCCATCAGCAGAAACAGTAATTTCAAATGAAAAATCGGCATTTCGAATTTTGTAGTATCCTGGATGAGCTTGGAAATCACTTCTGAAGTAAAGACCAGTATAAACACTGAAAAAAAGCTTTATGACGTAGATATAATTAATATCATGAAGATGTTTAGAAATTGGGTCAGATCAGACAATGTTAGCACATACTACGTTAGAATTTAAAAGCACCTCGTCTATTTTCCAGAATATTTTATAATTCGTCTATATTTTATAACCCATCTATCAATTTACTATAAAATATTTACGATAAGCTTTCAGCAAGATGCCGTAAATGTGTAGATAAATCACGATCACTATCCGATGGCATGTGTTTCCTCATATCGGCAGCTGCCTGCATCAAGTCCTCTTTATCATCAGCACTAAGTACAAAACGTTTCTCCTGCAAGATACCATATATTTGCTAACTTTTCATATTTCTTCAAAGTATTAGTTTTTCCTTAAAGAAAAACCAAAGAACAATACTGTTAATGCAATCCCTCCTTCATATATTGATTTCAGTAATTTCGTTCCATAGTATATATACAATTCTAAATCAGCAACAGAATTCAAAACTTCGCGATTTAAGAAAAAAGTTCCAAGAGTTTACAATTTTTAAAATCTTGAAATTGCAAAACAATATCACAAAGAAAACACACCATAAGATTTCGACGTAAAAGTTGTGACAAATAATCCCATGAAAATTTAAGTGATGTTTGTCGAATTTTTTCTAGGCGGATTTCCTCCTCAACCTCTTCCAGGCTAAAATCAACCAGACTGTATTTGTCAGATTGAGCATTATCCGTCACCGGTTTCTCTTCTTCCCTTTCCACGATACTATCCTTTTCCATAACCGTTCTAAAATTCAACTTGCATCGAACTTTCAAACATTTAATTTTTTTACAATCGCTGACATTTACAAACATCGATTCTGATATATGTTCCACATATACCTTAACTTCACAGGTTACTTTCGTTAATCAAAGTAAGTATTCGTCTTAAATTATTTATATTTCTATAATGTTTGTTCTCTTATCACGCAGTATTTCATTTCAACTACTCTAACAATATATGAAAGAGTTTAATGACAAGTTCTGAGAGAGACCACAAGCTAATTTAATGACTAAAATGGATTAATTTAAAGTATACTATATGGAAACAAAGTTAGCTTACATTAAATGTGGAAATGCTAACGGATGAGAACGTGTATATAAGTGATGAGCACGTAATGCACACGTAATACAAACACACAACAACTCTCATCTTACACAAATCAATATCCATGTGCTTAGATGAAACAATTGCACAGCGCGTTTCTCCACTCTATCAAACCAGGCTTCCAGAAATTGGATAATGGAAGTGAGAAGTGCGAAAGATTGGAAAGAATCCGAGGATAAGGAGGAGTAGTGTAGTGATTTGAGGAGTAATGGGAAGTGCTAAGATTTGGGAGATACTGTTAAACTGGATGGTCGATAAAATTAGCTATATGTTAGCAATATTATCAGTAATAGAGAGTAAAAAAAAGTTATATGGATGAAGAGATGAAGAGATTTGACGACATTTGAAACTCACAATATTATGGCAGATGAAGGAAGTGGACGGCAATATGTTTGTCACATCTGATTTCATTGTTATTACGTGTGAATAGTGATCTATTTGAATAGGAGGAATTGTCGAAGACAGAGAAGTAAAAATATGAAATGGTTTGAGGGTGGAATAGTTGAAGCAATTGCGATAAGTCGCCAACAGAATGCTCTCTTCATCGTCAACATTCAGGAGCCACCGGGTGAGCGGAACATCAGCTATTCATGTTTCACTTCATGTTGAAATTGAAATGACAATAAAAATTACGGATGTAATTTCCGATTCAAAATGTTACATTATTCTATTTGGTTATATTATTTTATCGTATCATTACTAGAATATTTTATCAAATCATTTTAAATGACATTGTTTTCTTTCATAACTCACGGGATGAAATAAAAATTCGGAATCTAGTTACATTTAAATCTCTATAAACTTCGTGATGTAAATTATTGAATTTAATTATTGTGTAATTATTAAAACAATAAGTATTTTCGGTGAGTTTGTGAGGAAATTAAAGTTCCTATTTTATTTTGAAAAAGATGCTGTGATAAGAAAAAAAAAGTAGGTATGCGCTTTTCTTTACGTATTTTGTCTTGGTGATTGGCTGAACCAACTTTGTTAATATTGACAGTAATACTAATGGGAAATGAATTAACTCACTGTGTAACGATATGAAATTCTAAATGTATAACAGAATTTTATGATCACGACAATCTGTTCAGAGAATAATGATGAACAAAGTATGCGAATGGCACAGCTCTGGGATAGTATTGATAATAATATTTGTCAGCCAGCTTTGGTCGGCATACGTATTTTCCAAGGGACCGAGGCAGCAAAACAATTTGCCCAGATATGTTAGTTTTCTTTTTGCATTTATATTACTAAAATTATTCATTGCTGAAGCGTAGTACATTTCGTGATATCGGCATGCATCACTTTAATTATTTATAAGTTCCACAACAGAGGCGAAGTTAGCGTTCTTAAACTATTTGAGTTAATTCACACATTTGTATCTTACTTCATGGTATTGACTTTGTTTCTGAATGTTTAGTTTTTTGAAAAGAAATATCATCTTAAAAAATTTATAATTAATTTGACTTCAGATCCTGTGTTTGTTGTACCAGCATCGTATGTTATTGACTTGAAAGGAAAGCCTTTAGATGTTATCACAATCACTGAAGAACTGAATGAGGATATCTTCGCGCAAAGACTTAAGATTGCTATGAAGGCAAATAGTTTTCATAATCAAAAATAAAGAATTCAATATTATTTTTGCTTTAGTCGATTTACTTCTGCCAGTTTTACTTCTTATTCGCGTGCATTAATTTTAGTCAAAAAATTTATATGCTATTTGTTGTTTTAATTATGACATTAAGCAGATCATGGAAATCAAAATTTTCTGATGTTAACTTCTATGTTTTAAGTTACAGACTTTAAACAATGCTCATCAATCTTCATCGTCCATATTAGCTGGAGGTAGCAAATCAGATAAAGAGACAGAAAGAAAAGAATCGACAGATGTCAGCATGGATGAAAAGATAAAGAGGTAATTTTTAATTGATATAAAAGCTTGTAATTTAAAAATTCATTCATTTGCCTGAAATACGCATAAGAACTTTTGGAATGTGATTTTTTTAATATAGAAACGTTTGAATTATTTGTTTATATTTGTTCCATGAAATTTTAGACTTTTTAGAGCACATGAACTGCTTGAAAAGAAACGTGAAGAAGATGAAGTTATGAAGAAAAGTGAAGAAAATCAGAAAGAGATCAAGAGAAGAAATTTGGGCAAACTGACGGCAGAAGCAAAAGCTAGTGACAGACTCGAATTTTTTGCATTTATCTATTTTTTTGCATAATTTAATGTTACTTCAAATTTTAGTGGCGAATTATATTCTTATCTATTAAAGGTGTCACGTGAGGAACGCGAAAGGCGCGAGATGATAGAACAAAAGAATCAGGAAAAACGTGAGAAAGAAGCTTACCTAAAGAAAGTTCGTGAGCAGATTAAGGCAGATAAGTAAGTGTATAAAATAAAATGGAAGAATACAGCAAAAGGAAGTTTTATTTTGAAAGTTATAATGGATTTTTTAAATAAACATATAGCAAGAAGTTTGTTAACATGATTTTAGAGAAGAACGAATGAATGGAATGTTGGGCAATGTTGTGGAGCGCAAGCAGAAAGCAAAGCCTATAGAACATCAGACTGAGTTGCAGTCTTCAGATAGGTATTTTACTCTCTGTACTGCTAGATGAATGAATCAAATAGTTGACTGTTAATAGGGTGTGCCTTTTTAGCATTTACATTTACGGTTATGTTTGGCATTAACACGAAACATGACCGTAAGTGGTTTCAGGCTCGACAATATGCGTTGCATGGAATATCGAAATAGATATTTCGATATTTCTAAAATTTTTAATCAAAAATAGCACATAAATATCTGTTTCCTATTATTTTTCCCAAAATTTTCTTGCATTTTGTATTCCATATGTTTTGATTTTAAGTTCTGAATGTCGTATTCAATGCAAATTTCTCGATGGTTCCACTTTGGTACATCACTTTGCTTCTACAGATATCTTTTCTCAGCTTGTGGAAGTAATCAAAAAGGTATGACAACCTCAATTTTATTGTTGATCTCTGGAGCAGTCAAATACTTTGTGTTGATTCAAATAACTTAGCTTCGCATTAATTTTGTATTTTGAGCTGGTTTTTCGTACTCTTTTATTTCAGGATGGACGTCAAGGTGATGATTTTTATATAATGCAAATGTATCCAAGGCGAGAGTTCCCTGACATCACACAAACATTTGCTGAACTGGGTTTAACGCCATCTGCGACTGTCCTCGTACTTTCTGTAAATTTATATTCATCCATCACTTATATATCCTGTTATTATTTGTAGACGAAAAATGTCGTCAGGAACGTTAAAATTTAAAAATACTTCGAAATTAGGGCTCTTCTTTTCAGAAGTATTACTTTTCTAATTGGTGGGTAATGTAAGCAAGCAAGACTTTATTCTCATTTAATGTTCGAAAAAAGCTTTGGGAAACTTCATCTGCATTTCTAATCATTTCTACTATATTTTTATATGTACTTCAACTATCCTGAATCTCAGCAGAACTCTTTTTTTGACAGTTTCGCTGAATTTGAATAAATCATTGTTTTAGAAATGCAAGCGAACAGTGGCTACTTACGGTGGTTCCAGATGGATCGGACTACTTCAGTATGCTATTGCAGCTCCATTTCAAGCTTTATATCGTGTCCTGCTTTATATAATTGGTTATAACGGTCCTACATCGTCGGTGATCGAAGCAACTAAATCCAACGTCTCTAGCACTGTACCGAACAAAGTTCGCAAACCAAAAGAAAATAGTGAACGCCACCGAGACCATGTTAGACAAGTGAAGATAAATTTACTAAATAAAGTTTAGCTATTTACTTTCACATCATAAATATAATGTTATTTTTTCCAGAATAAAATTGAAATCTGAAATTTTGAAAAAATAAATCAGTTTAGGAAGGTAACTTTCGAAGATTCCATAACAAAGAGGATTCTTCACACTCAGATGATGAAGCCAGGTGGAATGGTAATTCAACTCAACAACTGTGATGGCTAATTTCTGGATTCCTGTGATTTTATTACAGTATTTTGTGGATGTTCACTGTTACGTTAATTTTCTTAACATATTAAATGCGATCTTTCCATTTCATTTTTAAGATATAAAGCTTTTCGGAAATTTATTTAGTTCAGTATCAACATTCATTTTTATGTCGGTCAATTTCAGTATAATACAATCAAATTACCAACCGAGACTCGATCATCGAATAGATCAAATGCTATGGTTTAATGATTTACATTTCTTTGTGTTTTTTGGGAAAAAGAGGAGGGAGTGTGTTACTTTGCATGCATTACATCATAAGTGAAAGAAAATTAGGAGAGTATTGCGTGATTGAAAATCGGTTAAGAAAATAAAGACCGCCATGCAGGGGCGTAATAAAACATACAAAAAAGTAGGAAAATGGAATTTTTTTTCGAAATTACGGAAGTATTTCTTTCGATTATTAATTAATTGTCCCTGCTTTCCTTTAAACAGAAAAATATGTGCAACAAATAAAATGACACAAATGTTGAAACAAACTTACTGAAAATTATTTAACCAAAAAACATTATGGACATAGACGATAAAATATTCAAAAATATTTGAGATGTTTTTTGTTTCCTAAAATTTATTTTGCAATTCACATCGACTTTTAGATTCTAATCCTTGCTTTTGAATCTTTTTATCCATAAATTTGTTATATTAATCTATTTCAAATCATTGTGCTCGTTCAACCATTTTCTGTTCTCCTCTTGCATAATTTTCATATTAGTAATTGCAGAACGGAATAAATAAATTTATTGAATTCAGAATTTCTTGGCTATCATTTTGGCGATTGATGGGAACGTATTGCTAAAGAGTTAGGTTGATATAAATTAGTAGTAGATGTTATTTAAGAATAATAGTGCATTTTATTCCAATCCTTTTATAAATACCAAAGTTTGAGATTGAAATTTGCATACAAAGAATTTTTTACTAAATCATTTGTTACCGATTGATTGATAAATAATCAATTGATAATTTACTTTTTGCGATACATTAATTTATTGATTTCTGGAATGGAACAACTATAAAGGAATTTCTCAATATAAACCTGATCGTAATCCCATATCCGTAATACATCATATAAACTCAAGAAATGCATCTGTAATTGTCATAGTATATTATATTTGAGAAGTGATATGGCAAAGAAGATAGCTATCAATATTATAGGTATAAGAGGATTTTCTATTCTGTCGTATCTGTCACATTTCATTTCATTCAACTAAACCAGCCTATTCAGTAGTAGTATTAGTATTAATAGTAGTAGTAGTAGGAGGAGGAGGAGGAGGAGAAGGAGGAGAAGGAGAAGGAAAGGAAGTAGTATTCCTGTTCCCTGTTCCATCAATTCATTTTTATCCTAACTATTATAAAATCGCCTATACATCATTCCATATTACACTGACCCTAATGATGCCACATTAGTTGTAGAGAGAAGCACACATACATATATCAGAGGAGATCAAACCAAATGTTATTTGGCATTTTTTTTTTTATTAAATACTAAAGTATGCGTATGTGTGTGTGTGTGTGTGTGTCTGTGACAGCTGGGCGGATGGTGCCGTCTGCTGGCGATCAGCTGGAAGGACCAGTAGAACGAGGAGAGTACCGCATGGGAAGTAGCATCGTCGCCATTCCATCCATAGACCGATGGATAGATGGATGGATGGCACACCACTACGGCCTCACTCCAATTTTCTAAAAATTCTCCTGGCGCCGTGTTTGTATGTGTGTGTCTGTGTATGTGTGTATGTGTGTGTGTACTGTGTGTCTCTGTGTGTGAACATCCTTTTTACTTCATTTTCCTTGTCATTGTTATCGGTTTACATATACACACACACACACACATACACACACATACATACCCATGCACACACATACATTCTCAATTTCGATAGTTTTGTATCATTTCTGGATTGTAATGCTTATTCATAAGGACAAATTTATGCTCAATTTCGAAATTTCTTCTTCCTTTAAATTTTGGAATATTTTAAAAATTTATAATTAAAAATTAAAAAATTTAAAATTAGTTATTCGTTTTTGTGATCGATGAAAGTTTTCCATCATCTGAATGATTCAGATGAAATTTATCAGATGCTTATCTGGCAGGAATTTATAAGTTAAGAAAAAATTGATCTGTTATACCTATCTCCTATCATTTATTGAATAAATGTTTGTAACAATTCAAATAGAAACCGTAATTGAAATTTGTTTAGTTTAAATTAGAAAAATTTCTATTAACATTAATCATTCCGTGTAAATATTTGTTACGTGTATCATACGTGTTATCCGTGTTTTCCGACATGCATTATTATATATGTTTCCTTTTTTATTTTCCTCATATGAATAATTTTAATTGATAGAATTTTTCAATTTATTGATTTGTTTGTTATTTAGTACGAGAAAGCAAAACAAAGGGAAAAAATGAAGGATGAATATGTGGCACATGTGGGAAGTACAGGTGGTGGTGCTATCTCAATTGTGAAAACGAAAGGTAATAATAACAGCAGTGCGGATGAAGATGAAGAACGATGTTCCGCTCAATCTCATAGGAGGTTTTTATTATTTTATTATTACTCTATTACTATTACTTCCTGTTTCCTTTCCGTTTTATTAACCGAATTCTTAACCTGTAGAATTTTTCGTTTTTCATTTGCTTAGTTTTGAATAAAAAATTGAAAATGTTATTTATTCGATGACGTATATGCAAATGAGTAAGTAATTAAATGTCAAAGTAATTTAAATTCAATTTTTTATAAAAAAAACCCCTCATGATGATATCGAAATTTTTTAGCATTTGAAGTTTGATGTTTTATTCAGAATGATATTCTTCAATTTATTTTCTAATACAGTATGATTTAAAAAAACTTCATTAATTGAATACGGTAATGAGTGCTTACTTATACTTACGATTACTGTAAAATGATTAGTCATAGCATTTGTTAGAATTCATTCGTTAGAAAGGCAAAGATTGGAGATGACGTATCTTATTATATCGTATCCGATTGATCACATGGTATTGGTATTTGATGTTCAATTTTCCATCTTTTTCTGTTCTCATTACATTCGGAATTGTTTGATTGAATGATTCATTCAATGAAGTAAATAAGCATTCGATTTATTCTTGCCATATGTGATATTATGATATCAGTCCAATTCACTGCATTATCAATGATATTAGGATTACACTAAGGATTATGAAGATTAACCGGATATTTAATGCAATAAGATTATCAAGATTTGTTTGTATCTCAGACAAGAATGTCTGAATAAGTCCAAAAGCAAAAAGGCTTCGCTCGATATGAGCCAAGACAATACTCCATGGATAAAATATCACATAGAAGAGAAAAGCATCAGCCTTTTTTTTCCATTTTCTAATTCTTATCTTGCCTAAAATATCTTTATATATCATTTCAGACTTATAAAAAAAGAAATAGATATGAGTTGCTATAACGTTCCTTTGCAAAACTGCCAAATACTTATCTCTTTTACCTTCCCTTTTACCTTTCTCGTCTTTATCGTTGTATCAAGGGAATATATATATATAATATATATTTCGCTGGATGTGAGAATATATATATATATATTCTATTACATGAAGAACTGCTTTAAAACCAACCTTTATGTTTGTAATGTATATATATCTTCTGTGTATGTTGGTCTCTATGTATGTATGTATGTATGTGTGTGTATGGGTGTGTATGTGTATGAATAGATGTGAGTGTGTGTGTATGTGTGGTGAGTGAGTAGTCCACTTTTTGATCACAGGACAGCCGGGCAGCTCCATCATTGTTTTTGTAGTTCTTTTGATGCCGATGGCAATACTGGTAGTGGTGGTAGTAACTGACTATAGCGCTTTCAAATGATCATAGCAATGTTATATATATGAGTGTATGTGTATGTGTGTGTGTGCGTGTGTGTGTGCATGTACGCGTGAACGCTATTTCCGCGACATTTTAGCAACATTTGTTGTTTCTACTCCTCATGTGATATACGGATGTGGGAAATGTCCTATATAAATTCATAAATTGATATCACGTCAGGTTAAGGTAATAAGCGTAGATTTTGATGTTGGAATAATGATAATCGTAGATTGAGTGGGTTTGTTTCATATTTTACAATTATAGTAAGAAGTGGGAAATTTGTACAGAAAATTACTGCAATATTTTTGCAAGTAGAGAAAAATTGGATGCCACTTGGCACAATTCAGTATTAGTTTTTCTCAAAGGTAACTAACAGGTTTAACAGTAATCGGTTATTTATTTCCATCATCGTTTGGACTACTGAAATACCTGTGTTTTAAAATAAACAAAAGTAAATGTAAGTGAGAAGTATAGTAAAATTGTTTCATAAAAAAGCTATTTAACTGGATTTATCTCTTCCAAATATCTTAAATCTAAGAGTTAGAAATGGAGAGAAATATGAGTGATATTTTCATTTTGGAAGCAATATAGAGATTTGAGTGAGTATAGGAAGATGATGAGAAATCCCATTTTGTACTGTAAGAATTATATAACGGAATTTAAATTTGTAGTTTTTTCTAGTAAGTATCGATTTCAAGATTGTTTAAATATTTAAAGAAGTATCTTCCAAGATTAACAATTATATAACTAC